GATTAAAGATCAGCGGATTGAATGGCGTACGTTTACCGGCCAAGCGAATACGTATGTGATGGTCAGTAGTTTTACCCGCTTGACGGCTTTCAGATGCATAACTTAAATACAACTTCAAAGGTTGTAAGTTCATAGAGTACAGAGAATGTGGTTGGTCCCTTACGTGAGGACTGTAAAAGAAAAATCTTCGACTCCTGCCAATCAAACAGAACAGCTTTCATGAGAGCAGCTCGATCAGGCGGCTGACTTCCGCCCACCTGAGACGACGAAGACCGGTACGTAGTGAATCGGTGTTTTACGACTTGTCGAACAAAGTGCTAAGTCCCGGTTTAACACCACGCAGTCGTGTTTATGTGTGTCGCCCGCAACAAGGAAGGCCGCGACGCCTGTAATGACCCCGCCTTTGCAGCCACAGCCAGGCAATAAAGCGGTGGCTATAACCCAGTTTGGAGAGGCAGTAACTTTCCGAGCCGATTTGCTCGGAAAACTCAATACCGCCCACGTGGTGGTCCTGAGACGACGAGGCGAGCACTTTGTCGTTGTACGACAGCGACGAGTTAACGACATCCTCGATCGACCTCCTTTGTCTGCTTTTCCTGCGACGGCAAGAACCGAGGAGCGAGTAGTTGAGGAACGGCTTACTGTCATCCGATGACGTCCGTTCTTCGAAACGAGCGAATAACGTCAACGGCGCTCTACCCGTCTACCTTTAGAGATCCGTTCGATGCCGCGATTTTCTCGGCCGTCGCTTAATCCTCAGTCAACAGCGGTTTCAGAAAGCACTGCGACAGACGATCCACTTTACACTCAGATTTATTCACTTTACACTGATCAGAAGATCGGTCAACGGACGGCCAGGTCGTCGAAAGGGTCTTCGTTGGATCTTAACCTTCAAAGTGTAATAGAGAAGGCGGTACCGCAATGGTTAAAGGTAAACTCGAACGGATTCGAATCTGACCGAAAATCCCTTTTAACTGCCAAGCTCCTTGATCAAGAAATTTTCCAAATATTGCATCATGGTGCACATTAAAATCCACTACGATAATCAGCACTCAGATCAATAGTAATTCTGTGTTAGGGAAAGTGAGAGACGGCATTGCATGTGTCCCGGAAGTTGGTGATATCGCCTCTCTAGTTAAAACACCTCTTATCAGTGGTATTGAAGCTGAGATCAGTGCCGAACCATAAATTCCTTAACAAGAAAATGTCATAGATGGTACAAGTATAATATAGGCAGCCAACGGGTTATAGATCGTTTCGTTTTCTGTTTACCTTGAACTCGGTAATTGAAATAGGGTGACGAGTTGGCTGTAATTGAGCTCCTGGAGAAAACCTCTCGGAGGATCAAGCCTCACAGAGGCATCACAAGGAACTCTATGAGGAAGGGGTGAAGGGCAAACGGATTTCCTATCTAAAATGTCTGGCATACAAGGATGGCAGCCAGCAGCGTTTGCGAATATCGAATGAAATATAAAGTACAAATAAATATAGTTACCAGTTCCCTGCGTGCAGGTGGATTCCAACGACGTACGATTGAAGAATGACCGATCGACTTCAGCACTGACAGATTCGTACCCAAGGGGCGGCAAGCGCCCAATTGGAAGGCTCCAATGAAAAGATGAACTAAAAGAAGCTACGTATGTAGACTGTGAGATGGAAAAATGTGGGCATCGAGAGTAGGCAATGGTGATCCCCTTTAATTACGAAGAACGATCAATAGAATGTTTTTAATTTCATTGCTGTTGATCCAGGTATCTTTTGAAGGTTATATTCGTCACATTCTAAATGCAGAGCAAGCAGTCTGGCAAAGATTTTATCATGACTTCTTCGAGAACTGTTAAAGACAGTGACTCTTAATCTTTCAGTCTAAATAGCAATGGTAGTGGCCTTGTTGTAGACAGTACTTTATAAAAAACATAAGATTTCTTCAGCCCTGATTACAATGGTATCATTGGCAAACGATTTCTGGCTGATGACTGTTTCCGGAGCAGATAAAAAGCAGATGTTCCCCCGGCATCTCGCGATATCATATGATTCTAACTCTAATGAACACTATCGATAAACGAATATTAGTCCAATTATAATTGCTTTCAAGTTTGAAAGTTAACAAGGGTTTTCAAGACAATGTACAGCTCTTGCAGGTTTACAATCATATCGTGAAAGCTTCATCCATTCAAAATTACATAATTTAAAGACTACCCACGACATTTTGGGCTTAAAAGCTTATAATATTCCAGTAATCTTACCATCCACTTGTTTTTGGAAACCCGGAGACAACTCCAGGACTCCAGACAAAATCCCAAGTACAAAATTTGGCGGGCGAGTGCCTATAGTTTATTTTTGATTTTCAAAGGCT